AGTGAGGAAGAAGATATAAGATTTTAGCTCTAAAAGAACTTTAGAGGTCACTTAATCCAACTCCGCATTTTGCAGATGGAAAAATAAAAGCAGGACACCTTGAATAGGTCATTGCACAACTCATCGGTGGCAGAGCTAGTCCTGGATCGTCCTTTAGCCAGGTGCCTCCAATGCACTTTCTGTGGGGTATAAGAGTCAGTCTAGGCTGCCTCCTGTGGGCTTGCAAACAAAGGCAGGAGCTCTTAGTTTGATCCTATAGTAATGAGAAGCCACAAAAGATCTCCAGAAGTTTACAAAAAAAAAAAAAAAAATAAGTACTTTGAAAATGGCCAAGTAGGCACAGCTGGGAGTCCAAAGGAGAGAAAATTTCCATAATCAGGTAAAAAGGGTTTAGGACCAAGATTATAAAAATTAGAATGCAAAGAGGAAAGAAACAGTTGGAGGATAGTGTTACAGTCCATTCGAATAGTGTGTGGAGTAGCCCCAAATGGAAGGACTGTCCAAGTTGTTGCTAGGTCCCTAACCAAGGCATAGAGTTTATTGTAACAGAGAGAGGCTTCTGTCCTCGACGATGTGTGTGATTAAAAATAGATGAGGGGCCGGGCGCGGTGGCTCCGCCTGTAATCCTAGCTCTCTGGGAAGCCGAGGCGGGCGGATTGTTTGAGCTCAGGAGTTCGAAACCAGTCTGAGCAAGAGCGAGACCACGTCTCTACTAAAATTAGAAAGAAATTAATTGGACAACTAAAAATATATAGAAAAAATTAGCCGGGCATGGTGGCGCATGCCTGTAGTCCCAGCTGCTCGGGAGGCTGAGGCAGGAGGATCACTTGAGCCCAGAAGTTTGAGGTTGCTGTGAGCTAGGCTGATGCCAGGCACTCACTCTAGCCCGGGCAAAAGAGTGAGACTCTGTCTCAAAAAAAAAAAAAAAAAAAAAAAAATGAGGACACTATACATGAAGGACTTCGATAGTGTAGACAAACAATTTAATAATGACCTTGTGATTTGAACATAACTATCTGGTACTAGAACTCCAGGGATGTACTGTGAAATTTCAGATGCCCACACCACAATATATAAAAGCATCTGGTAGTAATGACAAAAGGCTGACCCCAGAGCATTTCCCTGAGGTAAAAAGAGAAAAAGTTGAATTAGAGTGAAGGGTGGGTAGCTGCGAGGAGAGGGGGTGAAGTTTGAGTCTTGCTCTTCTGGCTGGGAAAATGCTTTACTATATACATAATCGACTTCGTACTACACTAGGGCTCGATTAGAGAGGGCCCATCCCATTCTCTTTCACTCCGTTTTGATCCCGTAGTCAGCTGCAGAGTTATAGATGAAGTGACAAGGATGGTGTCTTGATTGTATCCAGCTGCTTGGAATCAGTCAAGGGCAGAGAGGCCCCACATAGGGAACAGTGCTCACTAAAGGCTCCAAAGGAATCTGAAATTCAGGACACCTCTGATGCCTTTTAAAGCAGCATAGTTTAGCATTCTGTGACCCAGTGTCGCCAAATTAAGTCCCTGAGAGAAGTTTGGTAAGTGACTTCAGCTAACAGTAAGAGGACTGAAATCTTAACAGCATTTGACCCTAAAATTGAACCAATAATCATCATCATCATAATAATAATAGTAACAATAATATGGCTGCAAACAGGGGGCTTATAAAGAAGAGTCCCTTGGGAAAGTGATTTGAACTTCCTTCGCATGGAGTAGAGAGCTGTATTGACTCAAAGTAAATGGGGAAAAATGCGACTTCCATCTTCAGCGGCAGTGCCAGCTGGATTGGAAGCCCCCTCCCCGTGCCCTGCCCCTTTCCCTCCACCTTGCCTATTGCCATTGCCTTGCCTGTTGCTCTTCCCTGCCATTTGGTTGTGTGTGCTTGGGGCCCTTCAGAAATCTCTTTGCCCCATTGAGGTGAATCAGTGATCGTGGCATTTGTGTGACTTGAACAGGCAGGTGCTTGGTGCAGAGAAAAGGAAGCTGGCAGTGCACTGAATGGCATCTGCCCAGGCCCACAAACCAAACAGAAGTTACGGCTCACATACTATGTTGCTGCTCTGGGCTCTATAAAACTGTAATAGTATCATATTATTTTAATCTGCTGAAATACAAACCTCAGAGCAGAGAGACTACAGCAGCAGCATTACACATCTGAGAAAATGTTTGACATGGATTCATTTGTCTGCAGCTATTATGACGATGCCTGTGGCCGATTAACTCTCTTGGTTACAACATGGTGTTAATGAGGCCAAGGTTGTGGGTTTGAGAGTCCTGTTGGGTGAGCTGGTTTTACACAAATGAAAGCTCTTTTATCCCGGACCACACCAAAGGCCTAGAGAGCAGGTCAGACATCCCATAAGAGCATGGAGACGATCACAAGGAGGACTGGGCAAGACAGTCCCCTTTCATTCCCAGCTTTGTACGTGCTGAGTCTGCCCACTCGTGCATTCAGCAAGTGCGTGTGGGATGCTGTCGTGTGCAGGCACTATTCTGTGTGCTCGGAAACCATATGAATGGGACAGTCTCTGTCCTCTTCATGTTTAAATTCTGTAGGAGGAAAATAGATGATATATGAATAAATAAATAATAACCAAAATATTAATAATTGCAAAAAGTGAACGTTTGGGTAAAGAAAAGCATGGGGTTAAGGGATGTAACAAGTGGCCGGTTGGAGATAGTGTTTGCCTCAGCTAGGAAGGTCTGAGAAGGCCTCTCGAAGCAGTTGATATTTAAGCAGAGACCTGACTGATGAGACGACCCAGACTTTGGAAGAACTGGGAGAACATTTCAGCCAGAAGAAACAGCAAGTGCAGAGGGCTTGAGATCTAGTAGCGGTTGAAGAACAGAAAGGCCACTGGAGTGTGGGGAGCACAGTTGGAGAAGAGGTGAAGAGTGAGCAGGCCCTTTAGGACACGCCAGGGAGTTTGAATATTATTCTTAGTGCTCTAGGAAACCATTTTCTAAGGGTGGGGCATGACCTAAAGATTTTTGGGGGGATGTTATGGGTTGAATTGTGTCCCCCAAGAAAGATATGTTGAAGTCTTGATCCTCAGTACCTCAAAATGTAACTTTATTTGGCAATAAGGTCTTTTCAGAGGTTATCAAGTTAAAATGAGGTCATCAGGGTAGGCCCTAATTCAATATAACTGATGTCCTTATGAAAAGGGGAAATTTGGACACAGACAGACCCGCACTGAGGGAAGATGGCCATGTGAAGATGGAGGACTGGAGTGATGCGTCTACAAGCCAAGGAATGCCAGAGACTGACAGCCAACCTCCAGAAGCTAGGAAGGGCAAGGAAAGCTTCTCCTCCTACAGGTTTCAGAGAGAGCGCAGCGCTACCAATACCTTCCTTTCAGACTTCTAGCCTCCAGAACTTGAGGCAAGCTTCTGATGTTCTCAGCCCCCCAGTTAGTGGTTCTTTGTTAATAGCAGCCCTAGGAAACTTAAAAGGGTGGAGGAAAATCCCTGGGGAATGACAATGAAATATCCTCTCTGGACCTAGCAACACTTGTGGGTTGGGGAAACCACGGGTTGTTCTGGCATATGACCATATGACATATATGTTTTTGTGTGTGTGTGTGTGTGTGTGTGTGTGTGTGTGTGTGTAGATAAATATATGATGAAAATAATTGCAATAAAAAATATATATAATAGGATAGAGGCCACTGATTGAAATACCCTGTTCAGAATATCCTAATATTCTTTTAGGAATGGTCCTTTTAGGTATGCTATGCAAATAATGGTTTGGAAGGGCAAGAGTAGCAAGGAGACAAGTTAGAAGGCTAGCACAGTGGTCTTGGTGAGAGGTGATGGTGCAGAGCTGGAGGGAGTGGCGTTAGAGGTGGGAAGAGATGGTCAGAAATAGAGCCAGCAGGACTCACTAATGCATTGGGTGGGAGGAAAGGAAGGAATAAAGGCTGCCTCCCAGCCTTTGGGTTTGAGCAATTGGCTGCACGATTTATTGAGATGGAAAAGATTGGGAGAATGACTTCTGCAGAGATATAGAATCAAGAGTTGTGTTTTAGACATGTCAGGTTTGAGATGCCTATTGTTTATCCAGGTGCAGATATTAAGTAAGTGGTTGGTTATCTCAGGAATGTTCAGGGCTAAACATAAATTTAGAGATCACCAGATTATAGGTGTTATTTAAAGTGACCGAAACTAGATGAGATTACTTAAAAAGAAAGAGTTTGATGAGGGGAATAGGGCCTAGGCATGAACCCTCAGGAACTCCATTATTTAGAAGTCTGGTAAGGTGAGGAACCAGCAAGGGAGATGGAGAAGAGGCACCATGAACAACAGCAGATTGTCAGTACTCATCAGTGGTATGGACCTGCTCACTTTTGAGGTTAAACTAAATTATACAGAAATACATGGGAAAAGGTATTGGAGGTGCCTCATCCCCAGTATGCCCAATTCTTCTGTTTAATCCAATAAAACTGTATTTAAGAACCTTTCCAAATATGGAAATAAAGTATTTGTTTTCAATATGTTGCAGATAGAATCAGAGAAGTCCTCTAAACTCTAGGCTTCCAGAAGGTCATAAGAATGGGTGTGTGCTCAGGAGAAATAGCTGCTTTTTTAAAGAAATGGAGATTATAAGTTTTCATAACCACCGATTTAATACAAATCAGGGCAGTTGAGTTGCAGAGTTCCATTTATTCTTCATTTGTTCATTCATTAAGAATCGAACCTATTTCATTAATCATGTGTTAAGGGGTTACCCTTTGGCCCAACTCAATAAGCTATTACTCCACGTTATGTGAAATTTCCCAGCATGCACAAGAAGATTTGGAGGAAATCAGAATCAACATCTGTCTTCGAATATTGGCAGAATAACTAGCACATGTTCAATCGAACATCTTCAGAAGCCCATTATGACCCTGCTAAGTTATAACGATTTAAACCTAGGGAGTATGTTGATATCTATTTGGGTAACTCTGCACTGTGATTGGTTGTTGTCTGATTTAGCAATTGATTATTAATGTGCTTCTGTCTTAGGTCTGGCGGGAATTTCCTGACCGGTTGGTGGGTTACCCAGGTCGTCTGCATCTCTGGGACCATGAGATGAGTAAGTGGAAGTATGAGTCTGAGTGGACTAATGAGGTGTCCATGGTGCTCACAGGAGCAGCTTTTTATCACAAGGTAAGGGGGTGGGGCAGGCTCGGAGCAAGTGGGTCTGGGCTGACTAAACTGAGAGCATGACGCACATTTAATTTCGACCCCATTTTGTTTTCCATATCTGCTACTGGGTTTAGGAAAAATGTTCT